TCTCATCCAAAAAACAAAGTGCAACTACCATGCATGCACTTTGTGTGTGTAGAGAGAGAGGGCGGCAGTGAGGGGGGTGGATTAGGAGTAGGTTTAATGCGACGTAGAGCGAGGGTGGGCACCTAACCATGTAGGTATGCGGGGTAGAGCGATTGGCATGCATGCATGCATGCGGTGTACATGTATTAATGTCTTACAGATGCAGCTACAGAATACACATACAAGTTCGTTGAGTAATCTTGCTTTGCATCACCCACACATACGTAGTGCAAAAACACATAGGTTAACACAACAGCAACTAACATTACAGTTAGTAGTGTAGAAAAGATTGTTTACTTTTCAGCTTTGAATTATGTGTGATTTTCGCTTGGTTTAGCTCTGAACTATCAACTTGGCTAGTTCCCCTCCCTCTTCCTTTAAACCTCCTAATCTATATCATATCTAGAGCGTAGTTTACATCTGGCCAGCTTAATTTTGTGATGCCAAAATCGTTTCTGCAAAATTCTTACTTTTTTCTTTTGGAAAATTCACACATGAACTAGGATGTGGTGTCAAGTTTATGTGTGTAGTTTTTTTGTTTTAAATAACATGAAAATTTATGACCCATGCAAAAAAACTAACCTATTCACGTGTTTTGCACTTATCACAGTTACTCTTATTTGTAGCATGAACTTATAGGTTTTCAATTAGAATTATGTAGGCATCCTTCTTCTATAAACTGGCTAGGCTTAATTTATACCTTACTTCATCCAGACTTGCAGTTTTTGTGACGTAGTTGTTGATAGTTTTTTCTACTCGCTTAGTCAATTACAACGTCTGCCTTGAGACAAAAGTTATAAGACATCTTTTGAAAGACGGAGGGAGTATGTGATAATGATATGATAGTTTAGCACATTAAGTAAGCAGAAACATAGTTTGAGGAGAAAACTATAGTGAAATTAATCAAGTGAACTAAAGTTACAAACAAATTCACAGAATGTCCACATAATTCAACACGAGGACCATGTTATAGCACGAGCACCCACAAAAAAAAAGCAAAAATATGATCAGATGAACAATGCACAAAAGGCAAAATGTTTATTTTTTTAATATTGTATATAGAAACCACTTTTAAGTACATTGCGAATTTGATCATATTTTTTACATGAAATATTGCACGTGCAGAAATTTAATATGGTACATATCTACTGTTCTTTTTGACAACTTTTGAAATGCATAAAGAAAATTAACTCAAAACTCAAGCGCCACCCTTCCATCTTACATGCACATTTGCTTTTCCCAAACTATACATGAAACTGAGTAAAAAGTACTCTCTTCGTCCCAAAATAAGTGACTCAACTTTGACAGAGGGAGTAGAAGGAAACCGAATTTAAAAAAAAAATTGCAGAGAAAATATTTGTTTACCTGATTTCTATCTTCTCAAAATCAATTGCAGGTACTCTCCATATTTCTCGGACTACGGCTACCAGCCACTGGTACGTATCCTATCCGTGAAAAAACAACTGTTTTGCTTGCTTGTCGTGAATTATTATTGTACAACATGTCTAATCATGTACATGCATGCCTCGCGCGAAATTTTTGCCAGACATACTATCAGGCGTACGGTGGGCTGGCCGGAGGGGCACAGTACCAGGTCTTCAACGGTGGTGCCGCCACAGCGGGGACGGCGGGGCTAGCAATGGCTGATCCTACCGGGCTCTACCCCTACTACCAATATGGCCCTGCTGTGAGCACCGCCGCTGCGTACAGCATGATGCAGTACCCCCAGATGTACCAGTATGCGGCGGTCGGCGCCCCGCCGGAGAGCAGCCCTACCGCGGTGTCCGGCCTCCACCAGTTCATTGGCGCCGCTGCCTTTGAGCCTAATACTGGCGCCCAGGCAGGAGGTGATAATTTTGCTTTTTTAAAACTAAATTATTGTTTGACCTAGAGATTGTAAACAAATGTTCATAATGAAATTCATAATATTAGCCTTGAAATCAGTTTTGGGTCAAGATCCACTTGGTTTAGGATCCTGATTAAAGTGTTTTTCTTATTTTCTCTTTGCAGGTATGACGCTGGCTCAGCTGACAGCTCCAGCTCCGCTGGCACCTGCACCACAGTATCAGTACAGGCTCGTCTCTCCCATGCCCATTGCAACACCAGATCAGAAGAAGCCCTTAGCCTAGAAAGCCATGGCTGCCTTAATTAAATCTGCATCTTTCATGCACCTACATATCTTCTTTCCTCATTTACATGCATATCTCTGCACTGCAACTTACTAACTTGCTGCCAATGACCACCATGGGCTGAGTGGTGCATTTGGCAAACTAACAGGACTTGAAGTCCAATTTTCCATTTTGTAGTAGTCTGGTCTGGTACCTAATTAAGGTCTTATATCTTTTGAAAAAACAATAATCTAAATGCATGCATGTGTCCTCGGTCAGCACAAGCAGCTAATCTTTATGCATATATAGGTCACAAATTAATAGTTAGTCTATCTTTGGTTAAATATTACTCGTGAAGTTCACATTACTTAGGTGTAGCAAAGTTTTTGGTGCACCTTGCGCTCTTAAGGAAGAGTGCATGGTCAAATAGTTAAGTGGTTGAGTCGCTGCTGATTTTTCATAAGCAGCTTATGTCTCCCAGGGAAAAAAACTTTTTCATGGGGTGTAGCTCCATATAAATTAAGCTCATGGAGTTGCACAATGAGTTTAGTTAGTCAAGGATATTTTTAAACACGTACATTGGGGTGTCCTTATATTTCTCTATTAATTTGGTCATTGACTTTGGTTCCCTTCCTCGTCCCCAACACCATGCATGCATTGCATCCATATGCATCCTCTTCACCAACTAAGGCGGCCATGGCTAGGCCCAAGCTCGGATGAAAACTTACATACTTGAAACAGTGACAAAATTATATTTATTATTAATTCGCTGCAGATCTTATTATGTAATGACTATTATGAAATGCACATGCATATAGCCTCCATTTCAGAAGCTAATGTGCGTACAAATGCATATCTTTGGGACACTCTGAACTCATTTCCCGATCGTTCATTTGCATGTCACATTGCCAGTAGATTTATCATTGGAAATCATAAATTATGAAACCTATGCACAAACATATATAGTCTTTTTTGGTCGAGATCAATACATAGAAAAAAACATGGGCGCCATTACCTGTTACTCTTCGATTCCTCGCAACACTAGGCCGGTCCTCATATTTTCACCACAATTAATATTCATGTGATGACGTATTAGATATTTTTAGAAAAATGTGCACATAATGTTTCATCTACGTTAGTGGTAAGTTGCAGATGAAAAAAAATGTATCAAATAGGTATAATAAAACACGATTGATATAGATAAATACACATTTAGCACTTACTGCTTACAGAGTTTATTGGAGGAGGAAACTTTAAATTTATTAAAACTTTATTGCTGGATGGGGCTCCGGGCTTCGAGAGACAATATACATTTACATATGAAAAATTCTTTAATTAGTAATACTATTATAATTTAAAAAACTTTTATATTGTATATATAAAATTATATAGCTATGTATTACATATGAATTGGCTGAGAGTATTTTAATTACCACGCTCGTGTAAAAAACAAATCAGTAATGTTTAAAATGGATTAAAACTAGACAATCATATGTGGGTAACCCATATAAAATTTTCCAAATATTGAATACACGTGATTACAATACAAATACTCAATACTTAATTTATAGTGATCTTTTTACTTATTCATAACTCCATATGACTCTAATTTAACTATTTTATTTCGTTGATACAATTGAGATTACAAATCTTAACTTCTAATAATGCTAGTAAGCACTTAAACTTTTATATAATTCAAATAATTATGTACACTTACAAATACAATAACTAATAAGTATTAACATTTTATTTAATGTTTTTATTTTACGTTTTAGTTTGAGATGTTTTACTACAATGATTACCATCTAAATTTAAGCAAAGTGTAACTAAAACAACAACAAAACTAAATCCATATAAAATGGTTTATGCCTAAGATATACCATAGTATGATTATATGTTTTAGTACCCACAAGTTCATAGAGGTTCTAAATATACTTAGTCTAACCAATATCCCGAAAGAACTTTCTAGTTAGAAGAGTCTAACAAAATCCCAATAGAACTTTCTAGCTAGAAGAGGAATGCATAAAAATTCCAAACAGACACCAAGCTCCATGGAGGCCTTAATTTTAAAACTTCAAATTTTTCAGTTTCAAAAATTTCTGAAAAAATACACATGGACCTAGTGAAATAGTGTGCATGTGGGAAAATTTTCAGGTTGAAATACGTCAAAATGTGAGCTTCACACAAAAAACAAAATCTAGGGTTTTGTAGCATACTCATCCTCAAAATCCATGATTTTGTTCTTTTATGCAGATCGTAGTTCAAGATATTTTCATCTTGAAATTTTACACACATTACATCCTTGTATACTTTTTACGAATTTTTTGAAACTAAAAATTCTAAATTTTAAATATTTTTTAAATTAAGGCCTCCATGTAGCTCGGTCTCCGAAATGCCCTACTCGGAATGCATAGCTTATTTCAACAAATATGTAATTATATAGTCTATGTAGTGTCAATAAGTGCCTTCTCCTATGTGCATTTATTCTCATAGGAGGAATGGAAGCAAGCATCATTTTTAGCACAGTAAAACCGCACCTAATCCCAGCCCTCTCATGACTTGGTAGTTTTTGGTCGTCTGTTTGTTTGATCTAGCCAATCTGTACCGTTAGATGTGCTGTCAACGAGGTCTTCCCTGCAGTTTTTTTCCCTTGACCGATGTCCTAAAGGGACACTACTCTAAAAAGAAAAACTGAGATCTCTGGTTGCATGGGGGGAGGCGTTTTGGCTCCTGGGAACGTTTGCTCCCGCATGAATAGTAATTAAAACAATACTCCCTCCGATCCATATTACTTGTCTTAAATTTGTCTAGATATGAACGTAACTAGACACATTTTAGTGTTAGATACATCTGTATCTAGACAAATCTAAGACGAGTAATATGGATCAGAGAGAGTAGTGATTTTTTTAGAATATTCTGATTTTTTTTGTGGATGTTCATATTAGTGTTGCAAGAATGCTTGACAGTTTTCATGCAAAATGGAGCTCTGGTGTTTCGTCGGGGAAAAAACAAATTTGGGGTGACATTTTGGGGGTAACATTTGGTGTTCAATTTTTTTTTCCGCGCGGGCCAGAATGTTTAACCTTTTGTCCTAAAAATTTGCTGGTAGCATTTGGATGTGACTGAATCGACAAATTTTTTGTTGGGATATTTTTGACATTTCAAAAAGTATTTTCGCTTGTTCGAGCACATGCACCCGGAGCCAAATTGGATTTCCTAGATGCATGGGCCTTTTCTCCCAGCCCATTTTTCTACACTCCATGCGAGAACACCAGACATTCAGTCGATTGGGCAGCTACTCCAAGGAGCAGTACTCTACCTTGCAACGCGATGGTTTCATCTAGGGCAGCCGTCGCCGCCAGGGAATTATTGGTCTCCTCGCTTCCGGCTGCCATCTTGGCTCTGGGAGGTGGGGGACCTCGCATTTTCAAGAGTTCTATTTTTTAGTCATCGTCTAGTGATCATTGTTTCTTGTGAGAAGAAATTTACTCTTATTCTTTTGGCGGTGCCATGAGATTAGTGAGTTTTCTTTCCATGCAGATCCGATTATTCAGATATGATGAGTTTATATTGGCGTGTCAAACTTTTTTGTTGGTTTGATTCTTTGTGGAGTTGAAATCTTTCATTGACATCATGGTGAAGATATTGTGATTCGAAGGCCCATTCTTCTAGGGGACCATCCCCCGACCCAAGTACATTCATCGATCAAGGCTTTCCATCTTTTTGGATGGGCGACTCAAGGCACTTTCAAAAAGCAATATTGGTAATGTTCGTGCGGGTGAAAGAGTGACATCGTTACTTCAGCTCAATTGCAGGCTCTTTACCGAAGTCATTGGAGTATTTCTTCTAGCATAGGTTGATACTGCGAAGAAGGTGTTTTCAAGAGATTTCATTGTAATTCTTGGTCAAGAGTTACTTTATATTTTCTTAAAAAAATTATCTAAATCAGTGTACCTGTAATTTTTATGAGTATATAGGAATAAAATTACAGGTGTTCCAAAAAAAAAGACAGCCAATCGAGCTAACCCTCAATAAAAAGAAAATAGAAACAATCGTGAACCCTCGCGCCGGTCGATAGAATTGACGATGCTCGCACCGGTGGATCTATGTTGGATGCCGACTTCATTTGATCTGCCGTGGATCTCAAAGTCGATGGACTTCTTAGACATTATTCTCTGTATTAGCAAGCTGTACCTCCAATAGTCTTCTCAATCTTCCTGCATGTCAAAAGCTTCATCCTCCTCCAGCGATGTACATTCGTCATGATCTCCCGCAGCAATCTGCAGGACCCAAGCTCCCGCTTCATGAAAACCATGAGCATGTGAGGCAAGAGCTTCACGTTGGAGAACATCCGCACCCATCTCGAGGGCTGTACGGTCTTCTTTGTTCTACAAACTTGCTCAATAGCAGGAACCGGCATTACAAATTTTCTCGGTCGGTTATCGAATAAATTGATGCTATTCTTAGCTATATGGGATGGCTGTACTTTGCAAGCTTCGGGTACCATAGAGAAACACGCACTTGCCTCCTTAACCAAGGAGGTCAAAAGTATTCTATTCGCTGCTCTAGCTTCAAGGGCACACACTAGTTCTTCATATATTCTTCGGCATGGGTACTTTGACATCTTGTCGTCATATTCGTGTGCATCATCCTGGAACTTAGACAGCTCCTCAGCTGTAAATAACTGAAAGAAACACACTCCACCAGTGTTACAACACGAACAACAACTTTCCAACAAATGTACCTGAAAGCAAAGGATTTACAGATATTAGGATTTACCTCTTCTGGATCACCAACTAGAATTTCTTCTTCGGAGAAAGATATAAGCATCAGAGCTGTTGAGAGTTTCAGTAAGCTCCAGCCCTGGGTGTTAATGCCAGACACATCCTTAAGTTGCTTGCCAGCGCGTCTCAAGCACGCATCATGTTTCTTCTCAATTTCATCGCAATCATAAAAGGCACATGCTGAAAGAACAATGCGCTCATTGACCTGGACACAAATAGCAATTGCTTCGTCACCGAAGAAAAATGTGAAGGCAAATATATTCTATTGCACCCAAAGCTTTGGTCAGTGCACAAATTATCGGGAAGCAAAACAAGATGACAAAGAAAGCATCACTGAAGAACACGAAGGGCACTCACTAGGCAACTACTCCCTCCGTTTCTAAATATTTGTCTTTCTAGACATTTCAACAAATGACTACATACAGAGCAAAATGAATGAATCTACACTCTAAAATATGTCTATATACATCCGTATGTGATAGTCTATTTAGAATCTCTAAAAAGATAAATATTTAGGAACAGGGGGAGTAGTAAACTCACCATCTCTGGTTTGACATCAAAACCTTTACGATTCAGGAACATTGTTAGTCCTTGACTCATGGGGAGGCGTTCCTCCTTAGTCAGCTCTGATTTTTCCATAGGCACTAGACTATGGATGATATGCTTCACGCCCCACGTCACCTCCATCACAGTTTCATCGAAAATGCAAGGTATGCCCTGAAAAGAAATCGGGACAAACGGTGATCAAATTTATTCACAACCATAAAACAAACAAGGAGTAAACTAACCATGCTCGCTTCTATGATTGCTTTATACTCAGGTTTCCCAACAACTAACATCTGCCCAGGACGGCGCCACCTCTTGATGAACTTAGACAGCCTTCTGCAAACACCAGTGTCAGACCTAATGGCGCTGGACTTGTCCTTGAATTTTTTGAATTGTTTGAGCCAAACAATCTGACAAAGAAAAAAAAAAGGATGACCTTGTCACGCGAGGTTTCTCAACGTGGTTACAAGATACAACTAATTCAGAATATAAGCACAAACATCTACTAAGGGAACGTGAATGTGCGAAGGGAACGTGATACAATTGAACATATCGTGATAATGACGAACATTGCAAGATCTCTAGCTAACTCAGATGATTAATGTGAAAACAAAGAAGTACTCCCTCCATAAAGAAGCAAGAGAGGGAAGGGAACGAGTGGGGCACTAACATATGGTGCCATATATTCTGCTCCGAAGTTCGACCAGATATTCTCAAGAAGATGATGAAGAGAGAAAAAGGAATATAAATTAGCCGATGACATGAACAACAAGAGAAGGCGAGAACATCAGGAAGGCAGGTAGTACCGTGGTACCTCCTTGGCGCCTGGCAGATAGAGCTGGACCCCGTCGAAAGATAGAATTGCAAAGCCCGAGGGCGTCTCCAGCAGCAGTAGCATCAGCCCGTGGTCCCCTAATTTGTAAGCTGCATGCCAAGCTCAGTAACCTTGAGCAGAACAAGAAAAACCGCACGAAGACCAATCGCCCATTCAGGTACCATCTAATCTAATCAAATGCCAAAACCCTAATTAGCACACGCCCTGTGGGGTTTAAATCTGTAGGATCGAGTATGAAATATGAATCGATCGATCTGTGTGTTTGCCCCGCAGCGTGCATATGCTAGTGCTACTGCAGATAAGGATTCCTCCTACTCGAGATCAAGTTTTCACCCGCCGGCGCCGTGGGTGGATTCAGAGAGGGAGGATGACATCGGCAGCGAGCAGGCGGCTCACCTATACTTGTGATCGTCCCCTCCGGAGGAACACGATCACCCTTGGTCCGTACACCCATAGCCGGAGGACCAGGCCAACGTCGCCTCCTCGACGGCAGAGGCCGTAGCCTCATCGAGGAACATCGGGAGGAGAGGAGGCGCACCGGTAGTGATGTTACAGAGTCGTGTAGGCTTTTGACTTTGAAACAAAACTTCCCAACGGGGTCTTGTATTTGCGTTCTAGAGATTTTGTCAGGGTTTGGGATATTGGGGTATCTTCAATATAGACCTTCATATCGCCCGCAAACGTCCCATCGAGCTGCCTGAACGTAATATGTCACCCAACATGGCACGTACCCCATCTGTCCATGAATCAGTCCGGTTGACCGAATCCCCGCAAACCGGATGCAAATCACGGAGGCTTTGCGGGTGTCCGGACTACAACCACGTAAGCGTTCCACACCCCGGTCCCATCCAAAACCATCTCCCGCACACATGGCCTCCCGCATGACCGTTCCTCCGCTCCCAGCCCTGCATTCATGCCAGCACAGAGCAGACGCGGCCTCTCATGAAAGCCGGCATTGAAGAAAAGTGCCACGTCTCGGTCTCCACGTCTCTTCAATGCTGGAGCAGTGTCACTTGATAGGACAGGCGATGGCTATCTATCACATTCTTAGCGGCATTAAACAGGTGCGGCGACCAAGAAACCCACTCGTAGCGGAGCAACATGACTAGATAGGACCGGAGGGCTATCTACCGCAATCAAACCGGCTCCCGTCTGTCTGCTTGCCGGCATTAAACAAGTGTGGCGACCGAGAAATCCACTCCGGTGCCTGCATTGACACAACCCGCTGCTTAGCCTGGTCGGCGCTCGCTATTTAAACGCGGCTTCGCCCGGCACAATCCGCACTGCACCACATCCACTTCCGAGCTTCCTCCGTGCACGATCTCCACTATTAACACGAGCTCTAGGGCGAGGTGGGAGAGCCTCTCAACAGGGTAGAAGCATGAGGTGGCGAACCTTGCGACCGGATGGCAGAATGTTGTGCGCAGTAGATACATGTCGGCTTGCCCGTGATCTCGTCGGAGATGCGAGACGGCAACTTGACGACGAAGGACGTGTCCGATGATGAGTTGATGCCCCTGCCCGCGCTTGTCCATGTCGGCTTCTCCATGAAGCAAGCGTAGGCCACTTTGATGTTGTCATGGCAAATGTGCAGCCAGCACCGCCATGGACAAAACGGTATATATTAAACCAGCATGGCTAAAAAGGCGCGCCCATACATAGCTCACAGCGAGGCGAAGGCAGCCTCACTCCGCGATAGATCTCGCTTATAGTGAGACTAGCATCCGTCTCGCCCGAAGGGTTCGTGCATATGGGCCAACCCGTTAGCGTTGTAGCTCGCTTACGTATAGTTTTGTCCGGGTTTTACTTTTTTTTTATATCTTTTGGTTTTCTTTTTATTTTTCATGGAGTTTCTTTTGTTTTCTATTTTTCATCATTTGTTTTACTGTTTTTACAGTGTTTTACTGTTCTTACTTTTTTGGTTTGACTGGCCCTTTTGATTTGCTTTTCTGTTTCCTTTGTTTTATTGTGTTTCCTTTTCGGTTTTTAAAGGTTTTATTTGTACATTTTTGGTATACACCAGGAGCAATTTCTATATACATGTTCCCGTAAAAAAATCTATATACATATTTAATACTCTGCCAAATACTAGATTAACATTTTTGACAACTTATATTTTTTATATCCACCTTTTATACACATTGTACATTTTTTATAGACCAGGAACGCTTTTTATTTCTAGTTTTATAATACACCTTGTACAATTTTTGTATACATCAGAAACATTTTTTTATATATACACGATTTAACATCTTCGAAATTCATGATTACCATTTCTTAAAAGATACTAGATTTTCTATGTCTACTTTTTCCATACACATTCTACATTTTCTATATATATCGGGACCATTTGTTATATACACGTTTAATATTGTCCATACACATTCTACTTCTTCCATATACATTCTACACTGTTTTGTTTTATTCTTTTTTATATGCATTGTACATTTGTTGTATATGTTATATACATGTTGTCTATACATACTTAGCATTTTTAGTGCATGATTAACATTGTTCAAAAAAATTATGTAAAATGATTTTTGTAATAAACATACTCAGAATATTTCGAAACTTAAGAAAAGTAAAAAAAGAAAAAAGTGAGAAAAAAGCGCTGAAGGCGTGTGTCAGCTTTGCGCCTCCCCAATCGGGCGGCTGGCTTTACCTAGACCTCCTACGATCTCACTTGAAGCGAGACATGTGTCTCCAGAAAAAAAAACTTGAAGCGAGACATAGAAGCGCCCCCCTCGCCTGCTCGCAGCTCCTACGGAGCGCCGCAAATGGGCTGGCCCAGGTAGGTTTCCTTTAAGCTGGTCTTTTGTCCTGCTTTTATTTGTTCATTTTTTCTCTTTTATTATTATTTGGAAAATATTATTTATACTTATATTTAAAAACATAAAATAAAATCATGAATTTAAAAACAATATTAAGACAATGTAAAACAATTGTTAGCATAGTTCTGAAAAATTGTTGATAGCATATTAAAAAAATGTTCGTGCCATTTTAAAAATATTTATCAAACACTCACGTGTTTCAAATGTAAAACTTATAGAAAATAAGTGTTTCAAATGTATATGAAAATTATTGATAGCATAAAACAAATGTTTGTGACATTTTTAAAATGTTCACGTGTTTCAAAAAAATCCACATTATAATGAAATGTTAATCTTGCTTTTTTTTTTGCTTTCCTGATAGGCTTCACGATGCTTTTTTAGTTTTTTCGGTTTTTCTTCATTGATCATTCCTGCATACTGCTCACTGTCTTTTCTCCTTCTTTGTTCCTTGGCATCCATGACCAGAGATCGCGACCCCAATTGCTTGTCTACATGATACTTTTTTCATATTGTATGCATATGTCGTTAATTAAAAAACATATTAGATTTTGCATCATAAATAGAACATAGAATCTACTTATAAGTTACATTAAGTATGCTGGACGTTAGCATTAGAATATATGTGTTTATATAGTGTCATATTATTCCTAGATCCAATTTAGAAAATAGGAAAATAATATTGAAGTAAGAGCACTGATATATACATGACATTTTTCGTCTAATTTTAGTACAACAATGTAAATTAGACGTCGATATATAAGTAGTGACAAAGCATATCACACTTTCAGATTAACCATCCTAATCTATACCAACATAAAAAGATCTGAAGGGGCAGATCCAACTGATTTCGACAATCAAACTAGGTCAATCCAACGACCTAGACTGCTCCAATGGCGAGCGTTCAAAGTGTTTAAGGTGTAATTAATATCATACCAAATATTGCACTAATCACAAAATTAACACACAAATAATAGCATACCCAACATCCGCGTGCAACTAATATATTGCCTAAATATTAACGTGCGTTGCACGTGCGTATTTACTAGTTAGTTATTAACATCAGACAATAAAAATACGAAGATGTAGGTCAGACGTCTATAAATAGTGATAAAGCATATCATACTCGCAGATTAACCATCCTAATGAGTTACTACCATCAGACAATAAAAATATCATACACGCAAGACTTCTGTTGAAACTATTTTACCTTCATGCAATTGTTCTTCCATACAACCTCCAGCATGTCCATCTTCAGAGACATTAAGCATGGTACCTCTCATGATCCCGATTTCCTTCCTTAATTCTTCCGTGTCACCTCGTGTCCTTCTCAAATTAGATTAGAGAATATATCTCTCAGGATTCCAATTTCTTTCCTCATTTCTTTTTTCTACCACGTTGTGTCCCGTTTAGTATAGCCCACATCATATATAGAAGATTAATTGCCTCGCTTTCCAGTTAATTAGCCACATTTTCCTCCTTTATTTTCTG